ACCCTAAATAACGCTCGATAACGACGTCGACGACGAGGTTTACCACTCTCTAGAATAATCTATAGACCGTACGAGATACGGTATTCTCTCCGATTTCTATAGTATATATAGGACTACTCTATATACTGTCAAGTGGATAGAGCGAGAGCAAATACAACAATTTTAGCGCACCTGCCAACAAGTTCAATTCGATGTGGTTCAAGTTGTTCGGGACCTCAAAAGCACATCGCCGCGATGCTCAACTTCAAGTTGGCTTGTTTCGGTGGAAGGACCATGTATGGTTGTACTTCTTCCCTTGAGACACCTGGGATGTTGCTCTGCCATACTCGCCGGCCGAAGCACTGCGACGGCTCACCATATGACACTCTCCTGCCCTAGTGTGGTGTCTTCCCAACTTACGTTCAGGTGTAACTGCGTGACCAGCTCTCTATAGTGAAATGCAGTGCCGCTTCTTGAGCTGGCGATTATCCTATCTTAGATAGCCCCAGCCAACCTGACATGCAGCTCAAGTAGTACCGCTCGAATCAAAGCATGAGTTTCGCGATAAGATATCCGGCTCAGCCAATGGGCTCCCGCATTCCCCGTCGGGTTCCTCTTTATCAAGCGACAAGAGATTCGTGGGCAAACCACATACTGTACGACTTTCCCGTCGGTGGACCAGACATCATGGTCTATATCTTGTCGCCATTGACAGACCCAGGATGAGTGTTAACAATCAGTTTGTCTATTGTTCCAGACCTGTCCTTGGTGTACCCATAACCCCAGAAGCCTAGCCGATACTCCACTTGAACTAAACACCATGGCTCCAATGCTTGAGGATAACTCGACATCTACAAACATCACCTCCAAGTCCCATGATAAGCCTACACTTTACAGCAATGTCGACGAGGAACAGCTCAAGGCCACCGCCGAAGAGCGTCTTGCCAACTATGGCACCAAATTCGAAAAGGATATCATAACAGGCAGTAAAGGCCTGTATGTGTTTACCGCAAATGGCCACAAAGTACTAGACTGGACCTCCGGGCAGATGTCATGTCTGATAGGACATGGACATCCGGAAATCGTGTCTACCATCCATGACCACGCAGCACAGTTGGACCATTTGTTTTCCGGCATGCTGTCGCCGCCAGTCATCAACCTTGCCCAACGCCTTACGTCCGTTCTACCCAAGGGGCTTGACAAGGCTTTCTTTTTGTCGACCGGTGGCGAGTCGAACGAGGCAGCCATCAAGATGGCCAAGGTGTACACCGGCAAGTTCGAGATTGTCGGGCTTGGAGCAAGCTGGCACGGAGTAACTGCTCAGGCATTGGGTACCCAATACCACTTTGGACGCAAAGGTCAGGGACCGCTAATGCCAGGAATGCACATGCTTCCACCGCCGAACTCATATCGGTCGATTTTCCGCAAGCCAGACGGCTCGTACGACTGGGAGACCGAGCTTGATTATGGCTGGGATCTGATTGACAGAGCCTCGTGTGGATCTTTGGCCGCCTGCATCGTCGAATGCATCCAGTCCTCGGCAGGCATGCATGTCCTCCCTCCTGGTTACCTCAAGGCGTTGAAGAAGCACTGCGAGAAACGCGGTATGTTGCTCATCGTCGACGAAGCTCAGACTGGCATTGGCCGCTGCGGTGACTTGTTCGCCATCAACCACGAAGATGTGGTCCCAGATATCCTGACACTGAGCAAGACGCTGGGCAATGGTCTCCCGCTCAGCGCTGTGGTTATGAGCTCCGAGATTGAGCGTGTGTGCACCGAGCGCGACTTCTGCTTCTATACCACGCATGTCAACGATCCTCTGCCGGCTGCTGTGGGAGACAAAGTTCTCGAGATTGTGCTGAGAGACAATCTGGTTGAAAACTCGCGCAAGATGGGCCAGCACCTGCGAGCCGGATTGGAAAAGCTGAAGAGCAGATATGGTTGTATAGGAGATGTGCGAGGCCGGGGTCTGATGGCAGGTGTTGAAATCGTGAGTGACAGAGAAACCAAAGCCCCTGCTGTCGAGCTTGGAAGGAAATTAGCCAATAAGATGTACGAGCTGGGCTTGTGGGCAAACCTCAGCAGTCACTCCAGCTTCTCCGGTGTGTTCAGAATTGCACCTCCTATTGTCATCACCAAGGAGCAGCTGGATCAAGGCTTGGAGATTATGGAGCGGGCCTTTAGCGAGACAGAGGGCAGTATGCCGCTGTATTGATCTCAGTCCTCGGAAATGGAGATCACAAGGTAGAACAAACATGTAGACATGAGTTATCCATCAGATCTCTCCGTCCTCTTACCTTTCTGATGTAAACAGACTCTTATCGCGCGCTTACCTGAGCAATCCCCTGCGCTGCAGTGAAGCCAACCGCGCCCAACCTCCCCGTTCCGCCGCTGCGGTGAAGCGACAAGCCCGGCAGAAATTCACTGCCGGCTCAATAATTCTGTGCATATGTATTATAGTCACGGAACTTATTACCATAACACAAAGACCCCCAGTGACCCTCCAGGGTTTCGGGTACCGACCTCCGTGGCCGAGTGGTTAACCACACGGACTTGACAACCACGAATTCTCTCGGTGCCTGAAGCCACGAGATCACTGGGCGCCCGCCGAACAAACGAACGGTCGATCGATCCCCCTGCCTCCCCGACGGAGAAGACAGTCCAGGTCATGTCAGGTACAAACTAGCACCGGCTAGAAGGCATCATGACCTCGAGTGTCGACAAAAAATTCCCTGCCTCGAAGGGAATTTACCCAACCCACAACCCCCATATCAAAGGGGTTTGTGGGTATGGTTTTTGCCGTTGTGACTTTTTGGTGGTTGCGCAAGATGATTTTGGGCTGTTTTTCCTTTGTGTGCGCGAGACCCGTGGGCAAAGAATGAAAATAGACGGGCACAAGGTGGCTGTTAGGGAGTTCCTCACATTGACTTCGTACTATGGGTTGAGATAGAGAGTTGCGGAGATCATCTAGCTTAGCTTTACATCTTGCTTTCCCTGACCAGTGACACGAGAAACTTTTGGAGTGGGAGACAAAAATGGATTTTACAGCCCTGAGTTTCAATCAGGGTAGACAAGTCGGAGTTGTCATGTTGTGTAGGAGCAGGCGACGTCTATATACTGATGTGGGTGCAACTCTATCTTATTTCTGCAACTAATCTCCGGTGATCTCATCATCGCCCGCCGCTGCAACAACAGATTCCCAGGACAGGTTGCAGAGGCGTGGACTGAACCGAGCCCTGATTACAGTGAGAAGTTGTACTTATTAGGCTCACCGTCTACCAAGATTCTGCAGCCAATACCGGCAGCCTGCTTTATTGTAGACCGTGCCAAAAGAGTCGAGAACCGTGGCCGACGAAGCCTGTTGTTGCTGCGCCACCGGCGGAACTAGTACTACAGCCGAGGAGGCTGCCTGCGTCTGCAGTGTCATAACGCCACTACTACTACTACTATCACTTCCATCTCTCGTACAATTGTGTCACTTTCTGCCCCGCCCTCCATCCGACCCCAGTACTACTACAGCTTCATCTCATCTTCATAAGTGCAACAGTGAGACTGCCGACGATCTTTCTTCCTCGTTGCGCCCATTTCGGCAGCTCTGTTCATCTCTCCCTCGTCTCATCCTTATCAATCAGAAGCCCCTTTCTATTTGATGGCCGACTTCGTACCGCCTCCAGGGCCGCCGCCGCCGAAAGTCCCGGAAGGCTGGAAGGCAGTCTGGAACGACCAGTACAAAGAATGGTAAGCATGCACCCTTTCAGCGCATACCACAATCACTAGCAGGCCGAAGTTTTGCTGGGACGCTGTCGGCCTGATGCATCCTCCGCCGTCCCTTCCTGAACCTGGCAATTCACAATGTTCTGAGATAAACTGACACAATCCCAGGTTCTACGTCAATCTGTACACGAAACAGTCGCAATGGGAGAAACCAACCGAACCAGCCCGACCACCCAACTCCAGCCATGACGACGCACCGCCCGGGGTTCCGCCTCCATCCTATTCGGCCGGCGACAACGCGCCTCATGCCTCAGACACGAAACGACCACTAGAATCCAACAACCCATACAACGGGCAACGTCGGGACGGCGAAAGCGACGAACAATACGCCCGACGTCTCCAAGACGAGGAAAACAGCAAACACAATCGCGGCGCCGCCGACGAGTTTTACAATAGCGGCACAGCCAACCCACCAGGAATCCAGGGCGGATACCCCGGGGCACCCGGTTCCTCATCTTCTTCACTTCCCCCGCGTCCCGAAAGTAGCAGTGGCAGTGGCAAATCCAAGGGATTCCTGGGCAAACTGCTCGGCAAATCTTCGTCCAGCTCGCATTCTCAACAACAATACGCGGCTGCCGGAGGATATCCCGCGGGCTATGGACAACAACAAGGCTATCCCCCGCAAGGCGGATACTATCCACCCCAGGGCACGTATGGCGGATATCCCCCGCAAGGGTATCCTGCCGGTTATGGTGGCGGCTACGGCGGCGGTTATGCGGCTGCACCTCCTAGAAGGACTGGTGGCGGCCTGGGCGCGGGCGGGGCCGCGGCTTTGGGTCTGGGCGGTGGTTTGCTCGGTGGCATGATGTTGGAGAGTGCAATTGATGCTGGCGACGGTGGTGATTACGGCGGCGACGGAGGCGACTTTGGTGGTGATGGTGGAGACTTTGGGGGCGGTGACTTTTGATCTGAGGTCCAAAGCAGAGGTGTCAAGCTGTCCGGCGAGGCGCATTACAACTATTCTTTTCTTGAGGCTGGCTTGAACTTGGACCGGTATTGCCGAACTGAAAAGCAGGGCAATCAGTACATGACTGCGTAGGAGCAAGAGACTGCAGTGCAGATTGTCCTCCGCACACGTGCAGCCACGAAGCGAAGCCCAAGGGACAGACATAGAAGGCATGAACTGTTAGGGGTGATCGATCCCCAGATTGTCACGAGTAGTTAACAAGCAAATGATTCAATGATTAGATTCAACGGAGTTTCCAGCGTCTTGGGACTTACAAGACTTAGCTCAGTCGACTTATATTAGACTGTGCTGATATCTATGTGGTTGAGTAGTACAACACTGGCATCCTTTAAGGAGCTACAATACTGCACAGCTGTACCTCAGGCTGCCTAATAGTACCTCACCTTACCTGAGCTTATTAGATTTGGTACTGGAATAACAAC